AAAAAAATTGGGGGGGAAATTGTAGTCTATTTTTTTCATTACCGCCTAATATGTTAAAAAATTTTCCTTCAAAATTAGTGACAAAATAATTCTCACCAAAAGGTCTTATAATATTAAAAAGGATTGGTGACAAAAATATATTCCTGACCAAATGGTCTTAAATTATTTAAAATCAAGTTTCTAAAAAATATATATATTTAAAATTATTGGTGACAAAAATATATTCCTCATAAATTAGTTTATAATTGGTGACAATTTTTTTTTCTCACCAAAAGTGCCAAAGTTTTGGCGCCATTCAAAACAATTAGTAGGAAAAGTTTCGGTGATGAAACTTAATTTTTTTTCTCACCTAAAAGGAATTATTTATTAACGAAAATAAATTTCGTCACCTATTATTTTTATTTTTTTATTATACGTGACAAAATTTATAATTCCTCACGGATTATTCTTATTCAGTGACGAAATTTGTTTTCTTCACTAATTTATTTACCAAATCAACAACAAAGTATAAGCTAAAAAAATTGTGAAGATTGAAAACCCATAAAAATTTTGAAACAACTCAATTAAATTGGTGCAATACAAGAAACAAATAAAGAAAAAAGAACCTGCATTTGATGCAGAGAGTGGGGTCCTGTGTATACAAAAAGGGCCAATGGTAGTGTAGGCATTGAAGGTGGAGTAGCGAGGGCAAAGAGGGATGGCGAAGAGGTAACGTGCATGTGTTTTGAGAGAGAGAGAGAGAGAGAGAGAGAGAAGGTTGATAAACAAAAAAGGGGCAAAAAAATTAATACCCTATTTTGAGAGTGAGAGAGAGAGATATGATAAACAAAAAAGGGGTTAAAAAACCAATACCCTATTATTTTTTCAATGCTGCTCAATACATCAAAATTTTCCCACCAAAATTGGTGACAACATTATTTTCTCACCAAAAGATCTCAAAAATATTAAAAATTATTGGTGATGAAAATATATCCCTCACAAATAATTTTATAATTAGTGACAAATTTTTTTCTCACCAAAAGTCTAAAAATTTTGGCACCACCTAAAAAGATTAACAGGAAACTTTTTGATGATGAAACTTCATTTTTTTCTCACCTAAAAGGAAGTGTTTATTGACGAAAATAAATTTCATCACCTATTATTTTTATTTTTTTATTATATGTGAAAAAATTTATAAATTCCTCACAAATTATTCTTATTTAGTGACGAAATTTATTTTCTTCATTAGTTTTCGTCACCATAGGTTACTGACAGAGAGAGACTTTTTGGTGATTAAAATTTTAGTCGGCAAATGTCTACTGAATTTTTAGTTGTCAAAAATTTAAATTTTGACTTTTGCCTTCAAAATTTTTTAGTCGCCGATATAGGTTTAAATTTTAATTTTTGCTTACTAAACTCTTAGTCACCAAAGGTTTAAGTTTTGATTTTTATCTCCTAAATTTTTAGTTGCCAAAGGTTTAAATTTTAATTTTTACCTACTACATATTTAGTTGCTAAAAGTTTAAATAAAAATTTATTTAACTTTTTAAAAAATATGTGGTGACTAAATATTTAGTCGCTAAAGGTTGTACTTTAGCTAGTAAAAATATTTTAGTCGGAAAATATTAAATACTTTTGTCGTCGAAGTGTTGGCAATTAATGTTTTTAGTCGGCAAAAGTTTTTGGCGATTAAAATAATACCTTTAGCAACTAAATTTTTAGTCACTAAATGTGGCATTTCTTGTAGTGACAATATTACATATTTTAAAAAATTACCCAAAAAAGTATACTTATAGACCACAACACTCTAGGTGTAGCTCACATCACACAAACTTTAAATCTACTCCATACACCTCACATTTAGGGTAGTTATCGAAACAAAATTTGTTTTTTCTTAATTATTAGGTTATCCAACAATAATTGTAGTAAATGTTAGAGATTAAGGAGTAGGGAAGACATCACATGTTCAACAACTAAGGAGTAAGAGTAAAAGAATAGGATGGAGTCAAGAGATTGAGGAGGTTGGATCCCCATTGTGAAGCGAAGAGGGGGGCAAGGATCAAGGAGAGAGGATAATCATCCAGGTATATACACACTGTTTGTGGATAATCTGCCACAAAGTATGGATCCTAAGGGCATGTTTAATGTGTTTAAGAAGTTTGGAGTGGTGAATGATGTCTTCATACCACAAAAGCGAAGAAGAATAACTGCCTCAATATTTGGTGTTGTGAGATTTAGTTGTCAAGTAGCAGCAAATGTTGCCATGCAAAAAGCTAATGGTCTGTGGGTGGATGACAAGGTACTAGTGGTAAAAAGTGCTGACTTTGGAAGGGAGAGGCAAGAGAAAGGCTATATGCAGCCACAGACAAAGAGACAAGTAGTACAAAGACCACAATGGCATGAATCAAGTAAAGGAATGAATTAGTACATGGGTCAGAGATCGTATGTGGAGGCAGTAAAAGGGGGAAAAACTGATGGAATGGGGACTGTTACAGTAAAGGCTGAAGAAATAGGAAATGAATGGCTATATGAGAGTTTGATCCTGCGTTTGAAAGTGAAGTATGCAAATGTTAACCTGAAGATGGAGCCTGAAGCTAGAGGAATGAAGGAAGTTGTGGTGAGGAAGAGTGGAGGACGGGACATGATATTGTCTTTCAATTCAAAAGAGGAGATGAACTTAAAAGTGAAGGTTGTAAAGGAAATATTTGGGGACTGGTGTGAAGAGATAGTCATAGGGGATGCAAGGAAGGTGCGGGAGCAACAACGGTGTGTGTGGATAAGTTGTTATGGAATCTGAGAGGGTAATTTTTGGGAAAAATTGGGCCGAGCTTCGAGTTGGGCTTTGAGGCCCAAAACGCAAAGGACTAAGTAAAAAGGCCGTAATGGATACTCCGGCCTAGGGGGCAAGGTTACTCCGGCCTTGGGGAGACAAAGTTACTTCGGCCCAAGGAGGTGAGATTATTCCGGCTCAAGAAGAAATAGTTGCTTCGGCCCAAGGAAAAGTAAATCTACTCCGGTCCGGAGGCAACTCGGAGTCAGGCCGGTCTCAGTGTTAGTCCGGTCGCAGTATGTTCTGGGAAGGCCGGTTTCTGAATTAGTCCGGTCGTGACATACAATGGTTAGGTCGGTCAGAACTTGTTACTTGGAAGTTTGATCTAAGCACACCAAGGTTGAACAGGGGCAGCCGAAGTAAGGTGTTAGATTAGAAGACCGAGCTAAGGATAGTTCGGCCCTCTATGGCTCGGTATAGCCAATTTTACTTCGGTCAAATGGAAGTTCGGCCATAAAGAAAACCATCCCACTTGGTTTAAGCAGTGGGGGAGGGTGTAAAAGGATAAGCATTATCCTTAGGAGAATGAATCCTAGGAGGACTCTGCATGGAGAAGTACAAGTCCTACTAGGATTGTGCCACGGGAAACTTATAAAAGCTCACAAGCATCACCTTGGAGGAGGTAATTGAACACAATACTTTTTGAGAGCATAAATCTTTGTCTATTTTTCAAGCTTACTGACTTAGGCATCGGAGAGGTTTCCGGCACACACCCGCCGGCTAGCTCACGTTTGTGTTTTCAGGTGATAAAGCGACGTCGTACGGAGGAGCGTGGACTTGGTCAACAGGATTATACGAGGAGAATTATTTCCTCCCCGTACAGAATCCCTTTAAACTTGTGGAATAGAACCAATCTAAATCGGATTGGGAATTTATGGAAGGAGGTTATCTGCACTGACGAAGAGTTATTCCAACCACAATCGTTCACCTGTGGAAAAATGAAGATCTCCACTAAGTGCATGGAGCCAATCAATCAAGTGATAAATATGGAGTGTAAATGAGTGATCTACCCAGTTAGAGTTTGTGAAGAATAGAGGGTGGTCATTCAAACAATTAAAGAGACCTATGTCTATAAGAAGCATATGCACTTGGATGATGTTTACAGTGCAAATGAACAGGTATATCAGCCTATGGAGGAAAGAAACATAGAATGAGAAGATGATGTTGACAGGGCATATGAGTCAGCTAAGGTGCTGGGAAAAAGTGATGGCATGGCAACAGGGGACATGACAAATGGACCACTAAACAGAATGGAGGTAGACAAAGAGATGCAAGGGAGGAGTGAAACAATCATTGTAGAGTCTAGTAGAAGAGTGGGATAGGAGCTCGAGATGAAAGTGGGTGAGCCGAATTACGCCTGTGCAGAACACTGTCAGACCTGTGATGACCAAGTGTACACGCTTGGTTATATGAAAAGCTTAAGTGGGTCTAGCTTGCTTCGGTCTGGACTGAATCTAGAAGTGCAGTTGGATCTGTATCAAGGGCTTACTAATTTGGGTGTGGTGGGCTTCCTGCTTCACTGAATGGGCTTAGTAATCAAGCCCTTAGTTTACAAGATTGGGTCAAGGTAGGGGAATCAGACATTAGTAAGCCAAGTGGGTTGAAAGCCCAAATCAATAACAGGAAGAGTGAAGCGAATATAAAGCTGAAAGAGAAAAAGAAATTGAGCAAAAAGTCCAATAGTCGGAATCAACCTCGGAGAAAGGGATTCTTTGATCTTGTGAGGAGAAATGGTCATAAGGGTGCATCATCAAGAAAACCAACTCCAAAACATGCCCAATTAAGAGCAGCAACTGTAGCAACCTCATTATCGACATCTATTGAGAAAGGGAATAATGGAGGAAGAAGAATGCTCAATGAAGCTGAAGCAACAGTATAGTTAGGAAAAACATTAGGTCTAGAGTATAATGGATCAGAAGAGAAAGTTCTAAGCAAAATAGTGGAACTAAAAAAGAATGATAGGGAGAAGCTTGAGGGGAAATGGGGCAACTACATAGGTTGATTATGGAGGTGGCGTTTCATCGGAGCTTTGTGAAGTTTTTGATAAAGATACTGGTTTGGAATATTAGAGGAATTGAAAAGCAAGAGAATAAGGGAAAGATACAGAAGTTGGTGAAGGCCAGAAATGTTAATATTGTGTTGATTCAAGAAACAAAAAAAAGTTGCTATTACAAAAAAAGAAGTCAAAGAAATGTGGGTGAGGAATTTAATGGAGTTCATGTCAGTGGATGCTGAAGGTATAGCTGGAGGAATGTTATGCATATGGGACCCTGAGGTATTTCAACTTGTTGCTTACTGCAGTAGTAGAAGGTTCATACTTTTATCATGTACAATGTTTAATTCTTTTGAGTGTGTTATAATGAATATCTATGCACCTAATGATGTAGGTAGTAGGAGAAAGCTCTGGGATAGTTTGATTAAACTGAAACAGGGTTTCTCTAAACCATGGTGTCTGTGTAAGGATTTCAATGAAATTCGACATATTGGTGAGAGGAAAGACTGCTCCAAAAGAGACGGGGGTATGGCTGAGCTCAATGAGTTCATTAAGAATTGTGAAGTACAAGACCTACCTTTATTAGGAAAAAAAGTTCAAAGGAAGTGGAGAAATGGAGTAAGATAGATAGGGTGTTGGTGGATCCAAGATGGATGGAGGGTTTTAAGCTAAAATTATGGGGATTACCTAAGCTCATCTCAGATCACAATCCACTACTCTTGATGGAAGATGATAGGGACTAGGGCCCAAAGCCGTATAGGTTTCTAAATACTTGGTGTTTACATCCAAATTTTTCCTCCTTTGTGGTTAAAGCTTGGAAGGTGTCAGAGGTTAATGGTTGGGCTGTGTTCATATTATAGAAAAAACTGAAGGTTTTGAAATTATCACTTAGGAAATGGAACAAGGAGGTGTATGGGTCTGTGCCTAACAAATTGAAAGCAGTAGAGAAGGAAGTTCATAACCTTGATCTTCAAGCAAAGAATAGAGAGCTAGATCAACAGAGAAAGCTAGAAAAAGAGAAGCTACAAAAGAAGTATGGAGACTTCATAGAATGGTGGAATAGACGTGATTACAAAAATCAAGATTGAACTAGAACTTGAAACGGGATTGAAATACTAGATTTTTCCATGTAATGGCCAAGGGTAGACAATGTAGAAATGAAATCACATCTATTGCTTAGCAGTTTTTGAGCACTTCAAGAAGTTGTATTCTGAGAAGTGGGTGTTAAGACCTAAGTTAGGAGGCATATTCAAATTAGTGCAAAGCAGTCCACATTTTGAAGTGTTGGAAACAAAGTTTTCTGTGGCAGAAATCCTGGTAGCAGTGAAGGATTGTGAAGGAAACAAGGCACCTGGGCCATATGGGTTTAATATGTTATGCTTCCAAAAAATCTGGAAAGTGATGAAAAAGGAAGTACTCAATTTTATTAAGGAATTTTATAGGAATGGCAAACTAGTGAAGGGATTTAATAGCTCCTTTATTACTCTTGTCCCTAAAAAGGAAAATCCTGTAGGCTTAACAGACTATAGGCCAATCAATTTAGTTGGATCAGTATATAAGGTCCTAGCAAAGGTCCTGTCAAGAAGATTAAAAGAGGTACTACCCTGCATCATTAGCGAGACCCAATCAACCTTTATATGGGGGAAGAAAATATTAGATGGGGTTTTGATTGCCAATGAAGTGGCAGATGGGTGGAAGAAATCCAAGAAGTAGGGTGTGATAATTAAACTTGAATTTGAGAAGGCTTATGATTCAGTCAACTGGGGGTTTCTATACTCAATGCTCTTGAATTTCGGTTTTGGTTTAAGATGGGTTGAATGGATTATGGAGTGTGTTAGCATGGCTAGAATCTCAGTACTTGTAAATGGTTCTCCAAGTGAAGAGTTTAGTCCTCAAAGGGGCCTTAGACAAGGTGACCCACTGTCTCCCTTCCTGTTCAACTTGGTTGCTGAAAGGCTAAATATGTTGCTGACAAGAGCATACCAGATGGAAATTATTAAACGTGTGATAATTGGTGCAGATGATGTGATGTTGTCTCACCTACAATTTGTAGATGATTCTATTCTTTTCTATGAGGCTCAAGAAGAGGAGGTCAGAAGCTTGAAGAGGATCTTAAGGTGTTTTGAGGTTATGTTTGGCCTAGGAATAAATTATCATAAGAGTCAGGTTTGTGAAGCGGGTGTTTCAGATGAATCTCTAGCTAGCTTTGCATCTATTTTGAATTGCAAGATTAAGAAGCTGCCTATTCGATATTTAGGTCTGCCCCTTGGGCCTAATCCTAATAGTAAACAAACTTGGAAACCAGTGTTGGACAAAGTTCGTAGTAGACTAGCTAGCTAGAAAAGAAAGCTTTTATCTTATGCTGGGAGGCTAACTTTAATAAAATCTGTGACTGCACTATTGCCGGTATATTATTTATCCTTGTTTAAATTACCTCAAGGGGTAGCTAAAGTGATTGACAGGTTGCAAGTTTCATTCCTTTGGGGGGGTTTAAAGTAAGGAAAAGGATACACCTAGTCAAATGGGATGATTTGTCAAAAAGTATGGATCAGAAGGGACTGGGGTTGAGAAGAGTAAGGTGATGAATGATTGTCTACTAATCAAATGGTGGTGGAGGTTTGGGTATGAAAAAGATGCATTATGGAGAAAGGTTATTTGTAGGAAGTATAAGACGGACTTTAGTGATTGGATGCCCACTTCCTACACCAAGACTAGGGTTTCTAGTGTCTGGAGAGGTATACTTAATATTGTTGTGTCTGATAGCCTAATTCTACAGTTTTACCTGAACAATTGGCAGTTAAAGGTTGGAGATGAGAGCAGAGTTAGGTTTTTATTGGATAAATGGTGTCATACCACCTATTTCAGAGAAGAATTTTCTGGCTTATTCTTTTCATCCTTAGATAAGGAGGTATCACTAAGAGCAATGTATGAGTGCACTATTGCCGGTATATTATTTATCCTTGTTTAAATTACCTCAAGGGGTAGCTAAAGTGATTGACAGGTTGCAAGTTTCATTCCTTTGGGGGGGTTTAAAGTAAGGAAAAGGATACACCTAGTCAAATGGGATGATTTGTCAAAAAGTATGGATCAGAAGGGACTGGGGTTGAGAAGAGTAAGGTGATGAATGATTGTCTACTAATCAAATGGTGGTGGAGGTTTGGGTATGAAAAAGATGCATTATGGAGAAAGGTTATTTGTAGGAAGTATAAGACGGACTTTAGTGATTGGATGCCCACTTCCTACACCAAGACTAGGGTTTCTAGTGTCTGGAAAGGTATACTTAATATTGTTGTGTCTGATAGCCTAATTCTACAGTTTTACCTGAACAATTGGCAGTTAAAGGTTGGGGATGAGAGCAGAGTTAGGTTTTTATTGGATAAATGGTGTCATGCCACTTGTTTCAGAGAAGAATTTTCTGGCTTATTCTTTTTGTCCTTGGATAAGGAGGTATCACTAAGAGCAATGTATGAGAGAAAGGGAGCTGCAGGGAATTGGATGTTTAATTCTAGAAGAAGGCTATATGATTGGGAAGATTGTGAGGCCACAAGACTTAAAAGTCTCCTAGGTGCTGCACCTACTTTGGTGGATGATCAGCTTGATAGACCGGTATGGTCAGCAGTATCAACAGAGGTATTCTTAGTGTCTTCTGTTTATAATGGGGTTTTTGCTATTGCAAGTCCTCCTTTGAGAATTTGTAAACTAGTGTGGGTTAAATACTTGCCTCCAAGAGTCCAATTTCTTGGGTGGCTAGCATGGAAGAGTAGATTAAAGACAACTGTTTTTCTCCAAAGAATTGGTGTGCTCCGAAGCAATACATTAACTCTATGTGTGTTCTACAAAGCTGAGATTGAAACTGTGAACCATGTCATGGTGTCCTGCCTTTTTGCGTCAACTGTATGGACTGAAATGCTAAATTGGTGGGATGTGCAAGGGACCTTACCTAGAACTGTTGAAGGGTTACTTCTATGGTGGGATAGGGAGAGGCTCAGTAATAAGGAGTGAAAGATTTGGAGGGGCATACCTCTAGTTGTGTTGTGGTCTGTATGGAAGCTTCGGAATGACGTTGTGTTCAATGCATCAGTCCCTAATGTGGCTGAGTTATGTGAAGTGATAAAAGTTAGAGTTGCATTATGGTTGAGATCATTTTACTCAGAGCATAGTTTTACAGTTTAGGATTTTATGCATAATCTTAGGCAAGTGAGAAGGTGTATTGCAGGAAGAAGGGTGTAAGGTGTTTGTACTGTATTCTTTGTCTTTGTTGTTGTGTTTTGTGTAGCTTCTATTAATCTAGTTGGATCCTCTCCAACAGGGTCTTTATTGATGTTATCTGCTGTAATTGTGATGCATTTTGATCATCAATAAAGTTTTTTCGCTGTTTAAAAAAATAAATAAATAAATAAAGGTTATCCAACAATAAATATAAAAGTAATAAAAGAGAAGCAGATATTTGGTGGTTTTGAACCGATATTCCACACCATTCAACTTGTGACACTTACTTTGTTATCTCTAAAAAGTAACATAAAAATAGTGAGTCATTCTATTTAAATCAACAAAAATTAAATTAATTTGAACATTTCATAATCTTGTCCAATAGCATTAAATAAGATCTCATTCCGAATCTATTCATTAGTTAAAAAAATTTATATTAGCTTTTTAACCTATAAAAATGAACTAACCATTACAAATTATCAAATATAATTATGTTTTTAATTTTTTAAAAAACTTAAAAAATTATTAAAAACATAAATCGGAAACGAGGCCTAATTTGTAGCAAGGAGAGCTAATCATTTGACTCTGTCGGACAAACACAATTACGTTGTTTGTCAAAAAGATTCCAACTTTATTTATTTATCTTTTATTTTTTTTAAGTTCTGTGTTCAATAAAATCCCAACTTTAATCTTATATCATGGATGATTCATGAGTGCCTCAGTTGCATTTATTTACAAACGTATGCGTCTTTTAACGCGTTTTGTACCTTTCTAAGCCCCGTCAAGTATGGATTATTTTAAAAAGATGATTATAATTAATTTTTTAATTAAAAATTATTTATATGTAACTTTTTTATGAGAGAAGAAGTGGGTTATAATCTGAAAAGTGAATTATAACCCACTTCTCAAAAGGGGCCGCATATATTAAAATAATTTTTTTTTTTTTTACAGGATGGAAGGTTGACACCTTCACAGCTACAATTTTCATTCTAACACAATCTTCAAAGTCTGTAAATAATTTTTTCATTTATTTTTCAATATGGTGATTGTACTTTTAAACTAATTGGGTTGTTTAACTCACTGTGTTTTTTGAAAAAAAAAATGATTGCATTTTTTAAATATCAATTAAAAAAAATTATAATTAATTTTTGAATGATTTTTTAATTCACTGTATTAGTAATTGTGTTTTTTAACTATCAACTGACTATGTTTTTTAGACAAAGATCTGCAGAGTTATTGCCACAACACATCACCATTAATGCAGCCCATCACAGCATTTATTACGACAACACCTCCCCGTCGGAACAGAGCCCCCTCACCCTGAACAAGGTAAGCTACGGCACAGGCTTTCGGCGGAAAGGGGGCACGTCACAAGGGACAGTGAAATGATTACCAAAGGATATAAGCAACAAGAGAAGCACAAGAAAAAGGTTAAGCTTTTTATCTCTCCATCTTCTTCCCTACATTTTCCTGTTTTTCTCTACTAATTCTCTCGCCGGAGGGTTCACTGGGGGACTGCCCCGTTCCCCTTTAGACTTGCTTGCAGGTCATTTGACGGAATCACCACCCGAAGCCGGAACCTGAAGAACCTGGTCCAGCCTGACCCATCCACCCGGGACGGACTGTATCATCAGTTGGCGCCGTCTGTGGGAACCTGGTGGTTTATTCGCGCGCTAGTTGTGTTCGCTATCGCCGGAGCCCTCTTTTCTCACTATCATCTTTTTCCTCTCACCCGTCCAGGTGTATGGTCACGACTAGGTCCATGGCCTCCCACCATAATGCCACCGATCATCAAACAGACCCTTCCCATCCAAACAACCCACCACAGTACATCATCGAGCTTACCAACAGTATGAACCGCATGACCGAGCAAAACCAGGCCCTGATCAATGCTCTGCTCCAAAGAAACCTCCCTGCTCCACCCCCAGACATTCCACCCAACCAAGAAAGAACCCCAAACCACACGGCTCCACCACCCCTTCCCCCCAACCCAGAAGGTTTACGACCCCCTCCTCCTCCACATATGAGCCTACCACCTCCGTCTCCACGCCCGCTAGTCGTGCCACTACCCTCTGAGGGGGAAGCCAGCAGTGTCCAGCCCCCATTTACCGTAGACAACATTCCCCTCTGGGACGTGGAACTTCGAGCTATGAAACTCCAACTACAAGGGGTCATCCAGAACATCCAACACAAGCCCTCAACCACCGCCCACTCGCATTTTGTTGCCTCCATCCGCGACAAACCGTTGCCCGCCAAGTTCAAAATGCCTACCATTGACTCGTTCGATGACACAACAGACCCCGTCGACCATCTGGAAACCTACCGCACCCTCATGATCCTCCATGCTTTCCCTGACGAGATCATGTGTCGAGCCTTTCCAGTGACACTAAAGGGATCAGCTCGATTGTGGTTTAGCCAGTTACCGGCGGACTCCGTCTCCACCTTCCAACACCTCAGTGACTCTTTCCTGAGCCACTTCATCGGGGCCCAGCGTCAGAGACGCCCAGCCACCCAACTCCTCAACATTCGTCAGACCGAGGGGGAGTCGCTCCGCAGCTTCGTCACCCGCTTCAACACCGAGGCCCTTCAAGTAGCGGAGAATGACGACAAGATCATCCTCACCGCCTTCATGGCCGGCCTGCGGTCGTCGGATTTCCTTTTCTCCCTCTCCAAAAACCCTCCAACCACCATGGCAGCCCTCCTATCCAAAGCCCAGAAGTACATGAATGCTGAAGATTCTCTGGCCGCTCGACAAGAACCCACCCCTAAAAATCCGACCCCTAGAGACAAGAGGAAAGACTCCGAACCAAGAACCGCCCAGTATAATAGCCAAACACCCCACTATAATGACCGACCCCCCCGTGCCAACCGGACGACTCCGACCAGACCGCCCGGTCAGTTTGAGCGATACATACCTCTCAACTCCCCTATGGAGCACGTCCTCAATCAAATCCAACGGGACTACCCCCTCAAGTGGCCCCTACCTTCACGAAACCCTTCCACCAACTGTATGGACTGAAATGCTAAATTGGTGGGATGTGCAAGGGGCCTTACCTAGAACTGTTGAAGGGTTACTTCTATGGTGGGATAAAGAGAGGCTCAGTAGTAAGGAGTGAAAAATTTGGAGGGGCATACTTCTGGTTGTGTTGTGGTCCGTATGGAAGTTTCGGAATGACGTGTTCAATGCATTAGTCCCTAATGTGGCTGAGTTATGTGAAGTGATAAAAGTTAGAGTTGCATTATGGTTGAGATCATTTTACTCAGAGCATTGTTTTACAGTTTAGGATTTTATGCATAATCTTAGGCAAGTGAGAAGGTGTATTGCAAGAAGAAGGGTGTAAGGTGTTTGTACTGTATTCTTTGTCTTTGTTGTTGTGTTTTGTGTAGCTTCTATTAATCTAGTTGGATCCTCTCCAACAGGGTCTTTATTGATGTTATCTGCTGTAATTGTGATGCATTTTGATTATCAATAAAGTTTTTTCGTTGTTTAAAAAAATAGATAAATAAATAAAGGTTATCCAACAATAAATATAAGAGCAATAAAAGAGAAGCAGATATTTGATGATTTTGAACCGATATTCCACACCATTCAACTTGTGACACTTGCTTTGTTATCTCTAAAAAGCAACATAAAAATAGTGAGTCATTCTGTTTAAATCAACAAAAATTAAATTAATTTGAACATTTCATGGTCTTGTCCAATAGCATTAAATAAGATCCCATTCCGAATCTACTCATTAGTTAAAAAAGTTTATTTAGCTTTTTAACCTATAAAAATGAACTAACCATTATAAATTATCAAATATAATTACGTTTTTAATTTTTTGTAAAAAATTAAAAAATTATTAAAAAAATAAATCGGGAGCGAGGCCTAATTTGTAGCAAGGAGAGCTAATCATTCGACTCTGTCGGACAAACACAATTACGTTGTTTGTCAAAAAGATTCCAACTTTATTTATCTATCTTTTATTTTTTTTAAATTCTGTGTTCAATAAAATCCCAACTTTAATCTTATATCATGGATGATTCATGAGTGCCTCAATTGCATTTATTTACAAATGAATGTGTCTTTTAACGCGTTTTGTACCTTTCTAAGCCCCGTCAAGTACGGATTATTTTAAGAAGGTGATTATAATTAATTTTTTGATTAAAAATTATTTATAAGTAACTTTTTTATGAGAGAAGAAGTGAGTTATAATTCGAAAAGTGGATTATAACCCACTTTTCAAAAGGAGTCGCATATATTAAAATAATTTTTTTTTTTGAAAAAAAAAAAATCAAAACTAATTAGCCTATTACTCATTATTGGATTTTATCCTCAACATTGAAAGAGCAAATATTCCTTATCCACTAGTTATATCTTTACAAAAGGAGAAATTATCAGTAAGTCTTACTTTTGAGACTTATTACCCATTAAATTCTATTAATAAATTTATCAAGTGATAAATATATCAATCTTTTGTTTTTATGAATAAATTTATAGTGATAAATTTATCAATCTCTTTATTTTTATGTATAACTTTACGGTGATAAATTTATCAATTTCTTATTTTTATAGTGATAAATTTATCAATTAAGACCTATAGGTAAACAAGTCTAGTTAATAGAACTGATTAGTAAGCGCCTCTTTACAAAATTTAATTAAAAAAAAAAAAAAGGGTCCCACCATAAGGGTCCACAGAGTTTAGAATTTTGAGGAAATAACAACACAGTATTATGAAAAAATATATTATTTTAATTATTAAAATATATAAATTGTATTACTGATTTGTAAATAATAAAAAATAAAATAA